TGAAGAAGCTGTAGCTCAGATATGTAAAGTGCATATACTGAAGCTTTATAGCTGACCCTGGGTACCTTGTTCTTTCTGTTCTCATAGAAGCCTCCAAATTAATGTTACTTGTGAACCTAGACTCTGTAGAAATTTTAAAACAAGTATTAGCCATAGACATTATTTTTAATACTCAGGACATTCACAACAAATCACAAGGTCCACACAAAACACAATGTTTTTGAATGTAAATATTGGTGGCTGTTGTAATTATGAGCCTTATAAAATGATTTGGTAGGCTAAATAAAAACAAAACAAAAAACCCCACAGCAACAACATAGAAGCAAAGTACCAAATAGAACCCGGAGGTGATTTCCTATCCTATTTGTGGGATGTAACTAAAAACAGTTACTTTTCAATAAAATTTAGGCATCTATTCATTCAACAAATATTTATTGAGTACCTGCCCTGTACTAGACTCTGTGCTAGATAAATAAGACAGAATGTGGGCTTTAACCTTATGGAACGGAGAGTGAAAGACATTAAACATTTTTTTAATAACATACACGGTTATACTTCTCTTGAGCGCTGTGAAGAACAAGTACAGGGTGAAATGAGAGTTGATAACTGGGCATCTAATCTAGATCAAAGAAAGCCTTCCTGAGAAATTGACATTTGAGGCCTTCAGGATGAATAGGAGCAGGTGAAAAGTGGTAGTATGGTAGGGAGCTATACTAAATTACTTCTGGGATATTGAGGGAACGGATAGAAAGCTGGCCAGTAGTGTGAGTGTTGTCTGGTGAGAGGTGGCAAAATTAGGCTCTGAGGAAGGCAGTGCTATATTATTGACGCCTTCAAAGGGGTCATTTTAAGTCTCATTCCAATGCTGTTTCCATTGCATAGAACATTCTTGAAACTCTTTGAATGACATTGCCTTCAGCTCCGATTTTGAAACACATGGGAAAAGAAAATTCTTTTTTAAGCAAAAATATTTTGCAGTGTAATCACCTTCTTTTTTTTTAATAGACTTGACTCAAAAGGGCTTTTGATTACTTATAAGAATTAAATCTATCCACAGGGGAAAGTAGTATTTTTTGCATCACTAATAGTATAAGCTGTGAAATTGACTTGCAAATAACCAAAAAAAAAAAA